TTCCAGCTTGGTTCCATTCTCCTCATCTCTTTCAAGTACTCCAATCAGTCAAAGGTTCAGTCTCTTTACATAATCCCCTATTTCTCAGAGGTTTTGTTCATTCTTTTTCATTATTTTTTGTCTATTTTTGTCTGCCGGTCTCATTTCAGAAAGATAGTCTTCAAGTTCTGAGATTCTTTCCTCCACTTCATCTGTTCTGCTATTGATACTTGTAATTGCATTGTGAAGTTCTCATCTTGTGTTTTTCAGCTCAATCAGGTTGGTTATGTTCTTCTCTAAACAGGCTATTCTGGCTATCACCTCTGGATTTTTATCTGGATTCTTAGCTTCTTTGCATTGGGTTAGAACATGCTCCTTTAGCTCAGTGAAGTTTGTTATTACTCACCTTCTGAAGCCCACTTTTGTCAAGTCAGCCACCTCAGCCTCAGCCTAGTTCTGTGCCCTTGCTGCAAAGATGCTGTAGTCATCTGGGGCAGAAGAGGCACTCTGGCTTTTTGAGTTTTCATTGTTTTTGTGTTGATTCTTTCTCATCTTTGTGGGCTTATCTACCTTCAATCTTTGAGGCTGCTGACCTTTGAATGGGGTTTTTGTGGGGTCTTTTTTGTTGAAATTGTTGTTTTCTGTTTAACAGTCAGGCCAGTCTACTGTAGGGCTGCTGCAGTTTGCTGGGGATCCACTCCAGAACCTAGATGCCTTGGTTTTTCCCAAACGCGGAGGTATCATCAGTGAAGGCTATGAAACAGCAAAGATGGCAGCCAGCTCCTTCCTCTGGAAGCTCCATCCCAGGGGAGTACTGACCTGCTGCTGGACTGAACGCACCTGTAGGAGGTGGCTGGAGACCCCTGTTGGGAGGTCTTACCCAGTCAGGAGGAACAGAATCATGGACCTGCTTAAAGAAACAGTCTGGCTGCTTTTCAGTAGAAGAGGTGTACTGCACTGGGTGGGGGAACCCTTCCTTGTCCAAATCATTGGGGCGTTCCAAAGCCAGCAGCCTAGAATGGATGAGTCAACCAAACCACGGAGATGGCAGATGCCTCTTCCTCCAGGAGCTCCATCCCAGGGAGAGATGCAGAACCCTGGCTGGAATGGATAAAGTTTCTGCAGGGGGTCCTGTCCAGTGAAGAAGAATGGATCAGGGGCCTGCTTAAAGAAGCAGTCTGCTTATGATCTGGCAAAGCAGCTGTGCTGCACTGCAGGGAAACCCTTTCTTATCTGTAACATTTGTATTCTTCAAAGCCAGCAGGCTAGAGCGGCTGAGTCTACTGACCATACAGATGGTGGCCACTCCTCCCTGTGACAGCTACATCCCAATGGAACCTTGCTGAAGTGACTGAAGCCCCCACAGGAAGGTGCCGCCCAGTGGGGATAAATGGATCGGGGTCCTGCTTAAAGAAGCAATCTGGCCATGATCTGTGGCCAGGCAGCTGTGCTGTGTTGTGCATCCAGACTGTTTGTATTCTCCAAAGCCAGCAGGCTAGAACGGCTGAGTCAACCAAACCATACAGATGCCAGCCACTCCTCCCCTCAGGAACTCAGACTGGTCTCAGGCAGATTCCAGCCTGCTCTGCTGGCAGGCTGGAATCCAAGCCCAAGGGCTTAAATTGTGAGGTGCCATGGAAGTGGGGCCTGCAGAACGATGCTGCTTGGTTCTCTGGATTCAACCCCCTTCCTAGGGATATGTATAGATGAATTTCCTCGTTTGCTGACCCCAGGGCCAGAGTATATAAAACTCCTGGGTCTCTGTGTGTGCCTGAGTGGCTGCTCTGCCTAAACTCCACACAGCTCTGTATCGAACCCAAGACACTGGTGGCACGGGCTCACAAGGGGATCTCCTGATTCCTGATTCACAGGTTGCAAAGGTCTATGAGAGAAGCATGGCTTCATGGACAAGGTTGCATAATCACTCACCGCTTCCCTTGGCTGGCTGTGGAAGTTCCTTTGGCTCCATAATGCTCCCAGGTGAGCCATCATCCCCAACCCCACTGCTCTTCTTCCTTTTCCAGGGGTTGAGCTGTCTGCCTAGACATTCCCAATGCAAGATCCTTGATATTTCAGTTGAAGGTGCTGAATTCACTCTCCCCTTTTCACTCCTCTTCATGAGTGCTGTGGACCACAGCTGCTTCTAATCAGCCATCTTGGATCCTACCAGATTCACACTTCTTGATTTCAAAACTAACTACAAAGCTGCAACAATTAGGACGTAGTCATAATAACATAAGGACAGGCACACATGTGAATGGAATAAAATTGAGAATCCAGAAATAAACTCTCAAATTTACAGTCAACTGATTTTTGACAAGACTGTAAAGGCAATTCACAAAAGTAAAGAATTGTTTTTATAATAAATAGCGCTGGGGCAACTAGATATCCACATGAAAAAAGTTTGACTGTTCATCATACGATACACAAAACTTAACCCAAAACAGATCATAAACTTAAACACAAGAGCTAAAACTATAAAACTCTTGAGGAAAATATAGAGGTAAATCTTCATGACCTTAGATTTGGCAATGGTTTCTTAGCTGTGACACACAAAAAATACACAACAAAAGAGTAAACAGAACTTCATTTAAAAAAAATTTTTTTTTTGTGACAGTCTTTCTCTATTGCCCAGGCTCAACTGCAGTGGTGCAATCTCAACTCAATAAATCTCTGCCTCCCTGGTTCAAGCATTTCTCCTGCCTCAGCCTCCTGAGTAGCTCAGTTTACAGACACCCACCACCACACCTGGCTCATTTTTATATTTTTAGTACACATGGGGTTTCATCATGATGGCTACTCTGGTCTCAAACTACTGATCTGCTCACCTCAGCCTCCCAAAGTGCTGAGATGACAGATATGAGCCATGGCGCCCAGCCTACATCAAAATTTTACCAATTTGTGCTTCTAAGGAAACCATCAGTGAAAAAAAAACTTACAGAATGGAAGAAAATATCTGCAAATCATTAAGTCTGATAAGGTTCTAGTATCCAAAATATAAAAATAATTTTACAACTCAACAGGAAACAACACAAATTTAAAATGAGCAAATGATCTGATTAGGTATTTTTCCAAAGAAGACACACAAATTGCTATCAAGCACAAAAAAGATACTCAGCATTATCAGTCATCTGGGAAATGTACATCAAAACCACAATGAGATGCCACTTCACACCCACTAGGGTGGCTATGATAAAAAAGACAGACAATAATATGAGCTAGTAATGGTGTGGTGAAATTGGAAATCTCATACATTGCTGGTGGGATATAAAAAGATAAAGTCACTTTAAAAAACAATCTGTCAGTTCTTCAAAGGGATAAACACAGAATTAACATATGGCCTAAAAATTTCATTCATAGATGATACACTCTAGAGAAATGAATCACATGTCCACACAAAAATTTTTACATGAATATTCAAAGCTCATTTTTCATACTAGCCAAAAAGTGAGACAATCAAAATGTCTATCAATTGATGAATGGATAAATAAAATGGGCTACAGCTGGAAGTATTAAGGAAAATATGAAATGATTCCTAAAGAATACGATGTCTCTTTTTGGAGTGATAAAAATGTTCTAATACTGATTTGTAGTGATAATTGCAAAATTCCATGAATATACTAATAAACTTCAATTATACACTTAAAGTGAATTATATGATACAAGATATGGTTTGGCTCAAACCATATATCACTCCTATCTCCACACTCAAATCTCACCTTGAATTGTAATAATCCCCATATGTCAAGGGCAAGGCCAGATGAAGGTAACAGAATCATGAGGGTCTTTCCCATGCTATTCTTGTGATAGTGAATAAGTCTCACAAAATCTGATAGTTTTATAAATGGGAGTTCCCCTGCGCAAGCTCTCTTGTCTGCCACCATGCAAGATGTATCTTTGCTCCTCCTCTGCCTTCTGCCATGACAGTGAGGCCTCCCTGGCCATGTGGAAATGTGAGTCCACTCTTTTTCTTTATAAATTACCCAGTCTCAGGTATTTCTTCATTAGCAGGATGAGAACAGACTAACACAGTATGAAAAATACATCTCAATGAAGCTGTTAGAAAAAATATATACAGTTCAAACTTTGAGGACTAGCAGAGACCAGCTGTGAAGAGATTTTGCCTCCAGTATTTGTTACTTGAATTACAGCCACAGACCATCTCCATTTCAGAGACTACCAAAACAAAAATAAATAATTCATACAGTAACTTCATTCTAAGACACATATTTATATAATCTATCCTGTTTTCCTTTTAAAAATCCTGTAGATAAGTTTTAGCCAAAAATATCTACTAAAATAGAGGTGACCATAGGCTACAATAATCTTATTATAAAATCAATTGTCTACTTGTGAAAAGGGAACAATACTTAATCATGGTAAGAATAATCAGAATTAGCCTCATGATATAAAATTCATAAGACATATCAGATACAGTGACAGAAAGACATGCATCCTCTCCAATCCTCTCAACAGTCGTACAATGAAGATGAGAAAATCAGGATTCAAAGACATTAAGTGGCTTGCCTATTCAGATATTAGGCAGCAAAACTGGGATTTGAACCCAAGACTACTTGTCTTTAACCTATCTTCAAGAAGGAATAAAGCTTCCACCCAGGCAATATTAATAGAAAAGAATAACCACAAATATGTCCTAATATAAAATATTTGAAATTATAGAGCTTAAGGGAAACTTAGAGAATACCTATCTCAAGTACCTCATTTTACACATGAGACAGTATCATCTTTGCAGTCTCTGATCAGCCTTGGCTATTTCCACTACACTCTGTTCTCCAATATACTACTAGGCTATCTGCAAGTGTTTCCTGATAGCCCTGGCATAAAGCAAATGAGAAATCACAGAAAAGCTAAGTTTCAGAAAGTCATAGATGTGCTGAGTAAACCTCCCCAAATTCTTCTTCCTAGCTAATAACCATAAATAAATGTTCCTCTTACTTGCCCAGGATGCAGAATTGTATCGAAGGGGAATGTCATACAAGATTTGTAATAATTATACGTACTTTGAATTCTTACCTTTATGGCCACAATAAAGATGGTATAAAGGAACATAAGATTATGCCTTGATATTGCCAGATGTTGGGTGTGCTGGAATGTAAAGATAATCGACCCCAGCAGGGTAACCTTGGAAGGGCTGAAAATAAAACACATTTGAAATCAGCAAGGAACAAATATGATCTATTTCTATCTTTCCTAGAGTGCTCTGAAAAACAGTAATTTAATAGGCCATTAATAGATGTAATGCAAAGATGAGTTTTGTTAATACATTTTAAACAGTGTTGAAAATGCTGAGTTACACAAGTTAAATACCTTTCTTCACAGCATAAACTATAGATTTTAAAATAACCATACATATTCAGACTCTCCAACAAAAGGAGTACATTTCTATATCCAGTATTTCTGAAACATATTTGGCCATATAAGTTTTTTCATAAAGGATTTCAAAGTTCCACGTTCTACAGCATGATCTGGAATTAGTGATTTAAAACCTTATAATGCTAAAAATCTCACAGGGTAAACTGGAGGAAAAGAAAGCCTGAATTTTTAGCATTTGCCCATTTCCATGATGTAAATACTCCCATCATGGCCAATGTCAGGTTACTGCGTTGAAGAGGAGAGATGCACACAACTGGTTATCACAAAACGGTTAAAAGCCATCTTCAGCACATCATTTAGCTAACTCCAGCACAGCATATTAGTTTTAGCTAATATATTAACGCTTAAATTGTAAAGTCTAAAATGAGATGCTAATCTACCAAATAAGAAGTATTGCTTTACGTTATATACTTGCCACATATTTAAAGTATATCTCAGTAACAAATCATTGCCTAGCTCTCTATCTTACAAGTAAAAAAGACAAATGATAAACTCTAGGAATGCCACACTGCAAAATATGACAAATCTAAGGGTTCCTATAAGCCATTTTATTAAAATTTTATTTATTTAATTATAACAAGCTGAGGACTAAGTTCCTAACAGGGTTAGGTTTTGACAATAGACCAAACCTGTATTACTTTCCTGTGGCTACTGTAATAAATTACAACAAATTCAGTGGCTTAAAACAGAAAAATTTAAACTCAGTATCACTCAGTTAAAATTAAGTGTCAGTAGGGCCACACTACCTCCAGAGACTCTAAGAAAGAATCCATTTCAGGTTCTGGATCTTGCTTAACAATATGACTGGGTAACAGTCATGTTTTATTTTATTTTATTGTTTTCTTCTTTTTTTTTTAGGCCCCAGATCTGTTCCATCCAAACACTGTTGAAGCAAGAAATGGATCCATATGACCACCAAATGCATTGCCAATAGTCAGGTTTTATTTTATTTATTTATTTTTTTAAGATAAAACATATTTATTTTTAGAAAGTAGATTAGAAGTTACCAGGGAATGGGAGAGGGAAGACTGGGGAGTTAATGGTTTACAGAGTTTCTGTTTTGGGTAATGGAATAGTTTTAGCAACAGATCATGATAGAGGTTACACAACAGAATGAGTATTATTACCATTGAATTTTACATGGCTAAAATGGCAGATTTTACCACAATTTAAAAAAAAATTGTCTTGTAACTATAAGTTAAACAGTGAGTGGTCCAGAGGTGGAAGACAGCTCTACCATCTGCAATGTGTGGCTTTCAAGGTCATTGTTGTCATCTTCAGTTCACAGCCAGCAAGGCAAAGATCTGTCAGACATGACCCAGAAATTTCACTCATCACTTCATTTACATCCCATTGTCCCATTGAGTATCACATGGCCACAGCTAGCTTTGAGGAAGGCTAGGAAACATAATAGGTAACCAAGTGTCCAGCAAAAATTTAGAGTTCAGCCATGCACAGTGGCTCACACCTGTAATCCCAACACTTCCAAGAGGCCAAGGTGAAGAGTCAGGTTTTAGAACAACGGTCTCTAAACCTTTTTGATTGTGCATCTCTATTGGTTAAAAAAAAAAGTTTTATAATATTCCCAAATTATGATTACCAATTTAGAAATTACACACAAAATTAAAAATTTTTTTAAATGATAAAAACATGGAAGGTTATTTTGCTACTCTTTCTCACAGTTTGTTTTCTGTACCACAGTGCCTCATTGTGTACATCGCCTTGGCATACACATCTACCATTCTGGGTTGTATTCTCTTAAGGACTGAATCTAAGGAACAAGGATTTCATAAACAATGCATTGGAGCAAGGCATTAGAGAAGGGGCTGAAGTTTAGGAAAAAAGTCCATTTAAAACTGGAGTATGAGATTTGTTAAAAAATTAGGATGTATTTAGAAATTTCTTATGCTTACTATATTAGTTTCCTCTGAAACTAGCAAACAAGTTATCTGCTTCCAAAATGCAATGGTGAAATAAGCATTGGATAACAGTTATAGATATTGCTATTCCAAAAGGGAGAAAAGAGAAGGAAAAAAAATTCAGCAGTCCCAAGCCATTTCAATATCCAGAAGGGCAAGTTCCATCAGGATTCAAGGCGTGAGAATAATCTTCTGCAGGTTGAGGTGAATCCACATCTTCACCCTCTACATTGATGGTTCTGGTCTCTGCACCCGAATCCAACCTATGGCCTGGCCTCAGGGCCAGTAGCTCCTACCATGAAGTCATTCTTCCTTTTCCAAGCATATGTTTGTAGTTGAGCAGTTTTATCAGCCTGATTCTGGCCTGCTGAATTTTAAAAGTCTGACAGCCTTCTTTCATTTAATCCTATCTTTCTCCTTTCAGTCCAAGCTGGCAGTGTTTCTTCTGATTTAATATTTCCAAATTCCCAGTGGGTCTCCTGTGTATGCACAGCACTCCATGTCACTAGACAAAGAGAGTCTTCCACAGATCTTTCTTGGATAACCTCCTCTCTATTCCTGGCTTCTGCTATTACGACTGAATGGATCCATGAATCAAACATCCAATCCCTTCAAAACTAGGAAAAGTGGTCCAGCCACACCCTTGGTCTTCTCTCCAGAGTGAATATCCCAGCCTTATCAACTTTGCAGTCCCAGTAGGCTAAGAATTTCCCAAATGTTCAAGTCCTGGCTTTGAGGGGTTTTATTTGGTTAGTAACATTCATTCCCTCAATTTAACTCTTTCCTCTTGCACTTTACTATAAGCATCAAAAAGAAACCATGCTATAACTAGAAAACTTTGCTTGGAAATTTCCTCAGCAAAAATATCCACATTCACTGATTACAAGTTATGCTTTCCACACAACTGTGGCAAACAATTGTGTGGCTAAGTTTCCACCACTGCATAACAAGGATAACCTTTCTCCAGTTCCCAAAATCATGTTCCTCATTTCCTTTGAAGTCTTCACCAGCATCTGTAACAATATTCCTACCAATATTTTGCTTATAACCATATATGTATTCTCTAAGACTATATATTTATAGGCTCTCTCTAATGTGCTCCTCACTTCCTTCAGGCCCCTCACCAGAAGTACCCTTAACATCCATAATTCTACCATGCGCTTCAAAATTCCTCTAGCCTCCACCAATTATCTAATCCCAGGTATCTGTTACAGCAGCACACCACATCCTGGTACCAAAATCTGTATTACTTTCTTGTGACTACTGCAATAAATTATAACAAATTATAACAAATAAAACAGAGAAATTTAAAATCAGTCTCATTCAGTCAAAAATCAAAGTGTCACTAGGGCCACACTACCTCTGGAGATACTAGAAAAGAATCCATTACTTGTGATTTTCAGCTTCTGGTGGCCACCAGCATTCCTTGGCTTGTGGCTATATCATTCTCATCTCCGAGATGTGTGGTCAAATCTCCCTCTGCTTTCCTCTTAAAAGGAGACATGTGACTGCATTCAGTCCCACCAGAAATCCAGGATGATTTCTTCATCTTAAGATCTTTAACTTGCAAATATGCAAAGAGCATGTTCCCGTATCAGTAAGATTTCAGGTACCAGGGGTTAAAAACCATGAGAACTTTAGAAATTATTATTCAGCCTTACTACATTTATTTACTATAAAAATATATTTATTCAAAAAATGTAAAGAAATATACTGACACATTAACAGAAGTTGTCACTAAACAATAGATTTCTTTTATGTTAACATATTCCCAAATTTTCCATTATACATACATTTTAATTCTTAAAACTTGGGGGTGAAGAAGGAAAATAAGGAAAACACTCTAAGAGAGTTACTGTGGGGACAGAGGATGACTTGTCTTTGTTTTTAGCAGGACTAGATATTTTTTAAATGAACTGGCAGCAATAAGTAATATGAAAAGGAAATTAAGAAACAATTCCATGTGCTAGCATTTAAAGAATACCTAAGGGCCAGGCATGGTAACCCATGCTTATAATTCCAGCATTTTGAGAGGCAAAAGAGGGTTGATCGCTTGAACCCAGGAGTTTGAGACCAGTCTGGGCAACCTGGTGAAACCTGGTCTCTATAAAAAATACAAAAATTAGCTGGGTGTGGTGGCATGCTTCTGTAATGTCAACTACTCAGGAGGCTGAGGCAGGAGAATCACTTGAACCCAGGAGGTGGAGGTTGCATTGAGCTGAGATTGTACCATTGCAGTCCAGCCTAGGTGACAGGCTGGAGTGTCAAAAATAAATAAATTAAAAGATTATCTTTTTATTTATTTATCTCAAAAATAAATAAAAAGTTTTAAAATACCTAATTAAATGGAAAGGTATCCCATGTTCACAAACTGGAAGACTTAAAACTGGCCAGGTACAGTGGCTCATGCCCCTAATCCCAATATTTTGAGAGTCCAAAGTGGGCAAATCACTTGAGATCAAAAATTTGAGACCAGACTGGCCAACATGGTAAAACCCTGTCTCTACTAAAAACAAAAATTAGCCAGGTATGGTGGCACATGCCTGTAATCCCAGCTACTTGGGAAGCTGAGGCAGGAGAATCACTTGAACCCAGGAGGTAGAAGTTGCAGGGAGCTGAAATCACTCCACTGCACTCCAGCCTGGGGGGCAGAGTGAGACTCTGTCTAAAAAAATAAAAAAGGAACAATTAATATTGTTATAAGACAGCAATAATTCTCAAAGCAATCTATGTGGTCAACGTTATCTCTATCAAAATTCTAATCCTGTTTCTGTTGTTTGCCTCCTATTTTTTTTTTTCTTTTTGCAGAAATGGAAAAAATTACCTAGGATTTTTATGG